TTCTGCCTTCTCGTTCAGCGGAGACGATCATTCGTTAGGGGGAAGAGATCGCGAGTTGTTCGGTTGCGGGATATCCTCTCTTCCGGGAGGTTACGAGCCAAATTTCGGCAGGGAAGTCGCGTATCGCGGCGGCCATACGTTAACTACCTTACCGTTTTTCAGACGTACCGGTTGACCGCTGGGTGAAAAATTTTAATTAAATAAAGCAACGCGATCTTTCCCCCACGGTCGACGTCGTATTTTTTATTCCAACTCCTGGATCCAGCTTCTTCTTCCCTAGGTGGTGCATTACCGAAGGAGGTGGGGGATCGTGCGCGCGCGCGCGCGCTTATACCTACTTATCGAGGACGTGGCTAGGACGGATTCCAGAACACGAGGCGAACGGAGCGTTGCAACGTACACGGGGCGACCGAGCAATGGACGACGACGCGTTGCCGAAAAATTTCATCGGTCGAGACACGGGTGCCCCGGACGCGTTACGATCGTTGCGGTTTGGCGACGTTTCAACCGACGAAGAAACTAGTCGCCGGCGCGTGGTGTAGGAACGCCGAGCAGGATACGGAGAACTTGTCGCGGACCGGGGATAAAGAGTCGATGATGCGATGCAAGCTGGCTCGGGTTAGGCGGACGGACACGGACACGGAGGCGAGCGTGCAAAACGACGGAAAAAGAAATAACGGAGGCGGTGGTGGATGGAAGCCGCCGCCGCCAGAGCTTCAGGGGTATACTGGCTTTCGAAAAGAGCCGGTAAAGGGATGGAGAGAGAATAGAAGAGGCAGAGAAAGAGGGGCGGGTTAGGTCTGGGTTAGCGACCGGCGGCTATATCTACGCGTCCTCGACCGCAGGCCTGTTTTATTTTATGAATCGCAATATTTCACGCGACAACTGGACTCGCGGGGCGGTCACCGCTAAACTGTCTGCATACGGGGCCGTGCTTACCGCGTACCACCATACCAAAACCATACCACACCGCGTACCATCGCTACCGACCACCATTGCGACCACACCGAACCAAGAAAACCCACGGCCACCGTTGCCTACGTACGTATAACCGACCTACGTATGTATTATACATACACGCGTACGACCACACGGACGTTCTTGCGACACAATGCGCGCACAACGGAGACACCTCACTAATACATTTCGATGCGACGAATGCGGTGCAACAGCGTCGCATTGTTCCTCGGGGGGGGCATGCAGAAATCTTTCCTCCTCTTTCTGTTCCCCTCGGAAGCTGGGACCGGACCGGGCCGTGCCAGGCCGTTTTGCTCTCGGTAGCGCGAACAATCCCCCGCGGGATTCGCCGTTCTCGGCTGCTGCTGACCGAACGGCCACGGCACGGAACGGACCGGGCAAACCTGGGCCGGATGTTTAAGGGTGCCTACGGGGTGATCCGTAAAGACGACACCGTGCCTCATTAGCAGCGTCGACGGAGGTGAGAGAAAACGATACACGGGCATCGCGAAGACAATGGTAGCCCGAGGAGAGCCCTCTAAATTTCCGATGATCGGAGATTTATGTACCGCTTCAATCGAAAACACGTCTCATGGTCGAATTAATTGCGCGACGCCTCGTAGTCGGTTCGCTTTAATCGTTATCTCGAATCCGGTGGCACGAGTATCTCCGCGAACGGTTCGAAGGAACCCCTTCGTCGACCGAACGAGTCCATCTACGCTCCATCAAACACATTCGATCCTGGATTTTTCGCGTTCGATCGCGTCGCAATTTTTCCACCGTTTTACCCGTCGCGAAACGCTACGCGCGCTATTTACCCGGTGTCTAAACACCGACATCGATGGCGACAAGCTGTGACATATACCGGAAAAGATCGGACCGCGTCGTGGTTCGTTGGGTCGACGTTGGAGGAGGGGGAACGCGAACGAGAGGAAACGAATCGGTGTTCTCGGTCGAATGTCAACTGGGTAGCGAACGTACGCCAATCTCACCCAGTATGCCTATCTTTACGGCGTTTACCTGACCAGCCACGAAGGAGGCGGACGCGCCATTACTGCTATGGAAGATAAAAGATAGGCGCGCGCGCCACGCCGCGGTCCATATATGTAAATACCTCTGGGGAACTGGCGTACACATCGTCGAAGGCAGAAACGAGAGGGTTGCCGGTGAGTAGAACGCTCCGAGGGACCGACCGTAGAGCATCGGCGACGAGAAGGAGAGAGGCGAAGGGTTCAGGGGATGGAACGAACGAAACGTACGGTCAGTAGCTCGCGTATGTAACATACTATCTTGAATATGCGCATACATCGAGAATTGCCCGGTTATTCCGAGAATTGGTTAGGCCAGGCGATCGAATACGCGGGAGCTGCCCGTCTTCTCGTAATTACCTCTCTTTTCTCTCCTTCCGTCCTTTCCGTTCTCTCCTCGTTCTTGCCTTTCTTCTTTTTCGACGCTGGCTCCTCGCATTCCCTCTACTATTTTTTCGATCCTCTGCCTCCCCCATCGAAGCAGGTATCACCGCGTTTATTGCGAGAATCGACAAACGTCCTGGTACGATAATTAGAAACCGAATGGGAAACGCGTCGCGAGCAGGTTAACCAACCTCGACGACGACGACAAGTTCCGGGTCTCGGGAAAGTAGAAAACTTTGTGAAACGCTTCCCACCGCGTCGTCCTCGTTCGCTCGAGTAAACGGGGGCCGAGGGTTCGGGAATACGACATCGTCGACAACTGACGCGCGAGCAGCCCCTGCTCGGCCAGGCTGTCGTCTCGGACGAAAATCGAGCCGGAGAAAGTCCTAATCGGGGCTGGAAGCCCACCGGAAGTTTCAACTGCCTGCGGTCGAAAGATGACGCAAAGTTCCAGGCAGGTATATGAGTCGGTGCGCCGACTCCTCGGGACAGGGAAAACGCCTAGCGGTCGGCCAGACACGATTACCAGGAACTTGGAAGATATAGAAGACGAATAGACGTGGGGAAACAGGGGAGCCGGTCGATTAATCTCCACAGAACGCAGCCCACTATCGGAATAGTTTGATGCGCGTTAGCGTTCGAATCGAACTTCGAAATAGCGTCGCGATTCGAAGGATTCGCTTCGACTCTCTGTATCGAAACGTTATCCGTGGAACTGCAGAAAGGATCGTAAGGGGTGGCAGAGAGTCCGACGATGGCCGAGCCTAATCCTTCGTAACGGTCGAGATCGTGACATTAAGCGAAACCCTCGTCGTTTCGGACCGACCATACCGTTCGAAGACTCCGGTAGTTCGACGTGGAATAGGTAGCGTTACAGAATGTAATGCGTGTACGAGAGACGGGTAGCACGAGTGGTGACGAGAACCGGTGGCGGAGGCGTATGGAACAGGCAGAACCAACGACAGAGAAGGGAGCGAAAAAGGGACGAGGAAATCGAGCCGTGCCTGTCGAGCAAACCGTGCGAGCATAGGTGTTAACATTTGCTTTATAGCGATCGCTCTACACCCTGGCAATGGTTTAATACTTGGGTCGACACGCGAGAGAAACGCCGCCGTTGCTGTGGCGCCTAGTTGCGGGCACCCACGTACGTTCCCTCTACTCGAGTCCGCATCAGGAGACCCACGGAATACGTATTTCCGGGGCTCGTTTCGAGCATCCGTTCAACGTTTCACCGATCGTCGCCATCGTTTCACGCGTCTACTATCGTCGCCGCCAGAAATCCTCTCGTGAACTGCATACGGTCGAAAGTATGCATCGGTCTCGTCCCCACGGGAACAAGAACAAGGTGTAAGTGTTCTTTTCGTATCGGTATTCGTGAGGATTCTTACGAGAGAACCGACCACGGTAGCCGGGCGCCTAGTAATTTCAGTAGTATATCGGAGCATTAGCGAGCGCCGGTTTCTATTTACATACGTTAGTATTAGGGAGTCGTAGGACGTATACTTACACGGGCCATAATGCAGGCCCGTTAAATACTAGAATGACCCGTGGGGCTTACGGGCCGCTATGAGATGTTAATACGAGACGGTGGCAAAGAGCGCGGGGCTACTTCCTCCTCCTTCCTCGATCTACCCTCTCCTACTCTCTTGTAATACCAACATACACACGCGCGAGTTTTCTCCGTTTCGTCTCAGCGTTTTCCTCTTTCAGTACGAGCGGCGATCTTCTCTCTCTCTGGCTCTCTCCCCATCTCTCTCGCTTGGACCGAGCCACGGATACGGTCTTTTATTTTATAGTTATGCAGCGAGGACACTTTTACTACGACCACGCGAACGTTTCGTGGTTTCTGCCCGCAACGCCCGCTTTTATTGTCTTACACTTTTTATCCTACGAACGCGCGCGCCACCCCTTACTTAGACCCCTTCGCCTCGTCGTGCCTCGCCTCATTTCGCCATGTCTCGTCTCCTCTGTAGAAATGCAGATACACACGGCGAAGAAACTATAAGAATTTCACGCAATTTTTTGGAAAAATAAAAAAACGATAGCAACTTTTTTCGTACTTCTGTTCGACAGTCTCCGTCGATGCAGCGATTCCGAGTGTCGACCGTTGTCTGGTTAGGAATATTTATGGCACGCGCCGCCATACGTCGGCGTTAACGCACTCCGAATGGTAGTATAACTTGAGCAAAGATAAACGGGCCGGTGAAAGGTTCGAATTGCACGAAACAATATCTCCGTTTCGTGGCGGACGCGGTCACGGTGTACGTTCAATGGGCTCGACCCACGATCGATGGAACGTAATTGTAGCTAACTGGAAACCTGATGATAAATAGATTCCTTTCGTTCATCGGGATAACGCGGCGAGTTTTCTACGCGAGACCCATTGTTGTCACGATACGATGTTTGCTCTATGTCATACGAACCCGTCCAGAGGTTCCGTACACGAAGAACGTGCCCGGGCAATTACTTTTACGCGGGCGGCGCGGCGGTCGCGAGCGATCGTTTAAAATTATTAATCGGCCGATAATTTTGTTCGAAACGAAGGAACGGGGTTTGCGTCTTGGCTTGTGAACGATAACGATAACCGAGGATGGGGATCGTAAAATGTAACAACAAATGGTATGTACTCACTTTGTGTAGAAAGCGTCGTTGCACTCGGAACAAGCAAAGCTACGTTTCCGCGTGGATCCGTTCGTCCATCCCGCCGACGTCGAGGCCCCCGTGCACTCTTTCTGATGGGCGTTCAGGTCTGATCGTCTCGTGAAAGACACCGAGCATCTCGCGCACGGAAACGGACGTTCGCCGGTGTGACTTCTGATGTGATTCCGCAACGATACTTTGCCGAACGCTTTCCCGCAAACGGGACAGGAATATTTCGGTACCGATTTCCCGTGGTCTCGATCCTTGTCCCCTGCCGTTGCGTTATCGTCCCGAACGATTCCGGTGTGCAGAGCTTCGTGAAAGATGAATTCCGCTCGCGAATCCGTTGAGAAACTACAGCTGCCGCATTTCCATACGTTTTTGACGTCTGCCGTTTCCGTCGCGTCTAATTTGTTATCGCCGAGACAGCCGTTCTCCCTCGTGTGTCTCGTCACGTCTTGCGAGAGGGCAAAAAGCGTGCCGCATTTGGGACATCTGCGTGGAAAACCATCGATTACGCTCGAAGCTGCGATTACCGCACCGCCCGAAGATATCTACATCAATTCGTAATCGTTTACCTGTGACAAAGCTCGGAATGATCGCGGAGAAGGTGTTCTTTGTGCTCGGACAAATTTGCTTGTCTCTCCTCGCAATGTGGACACTCACGGGCTGTACTCGCTACTGAATCCTGACCGTTCTTCCGAGCTTTCACGATCTCCTTGTGTCTGGACGTTCGTCGATGCAGCACCGCTTCCTGAGCAGTCGCGAAATTCATCGAGCAGAACGAACAGAAATACGGATTCGGCCGCGTCGAGACGTTCGGCTCTCGTTTCTCGTCGGTGTTCCCGTCGTGACGAGTCAATTGGTGGCGCTGAAGAGCCACCAGAGACCGAACGATTCGAGGGCAAAGATTGCACTTGATTCGTTGCTGATACGCGTCCGACGCGGTCAAGCATTCCTCGTGACCGGTTTCCTTCGTGTGCAATCGAAGCTGGAAATTATAACGGAATCGACGCTCGCAACCGGGACAGATTAACGCTCTATAACGACCGATCACCACCGGCACGGATCCGTTCATCATCGAGACAACGTCACGATGGCTGGTACTCGACAAATGATTGTCCATAGCTTCGTTCTCCTCGCACCAAAAGTTGCAAGGGGTGCATCTGTAGCTGCCGCAGATCTGGAAAAACCGGCCGATGATCAATCCCAGGCGTCTCGTTAGAAGTAACGTAAATTGAAAATAGTACGAGAACGAGGAAAGTACAACCTGCTTGAGAGTGTACGCGTGAAGATCGGATCGCCAATGGAGCAGAAACGTTTCCTCCGTGTTGCAGTAAAATCGGCAAGAGGAACACTGAAAGGGACACTGTCGAACCACATTTGCCATGTTCTCCAGTAAAAACCGACGCGCCCGCAGTCCGCGAGGATTTACACCGGCGACGCGGCAATGATAATGAGAAAGCAAATGCTTGCCCATTTGAGCCCGTCTCACCCGAGCGTGGCACATCTCGCAGTTCAGAATTTCCTTTTCTCTTCTTCTCAAACTCTTCTTCGCCTCCTTCGTCTCTGGTACCTCTTTGATTCTCTGTGGATCACACGTCCGAATCGATTAACGAGTTCCGTTCGAATCTCCTCGACGCGGAAGCCGAGCAGAAGAAAGACAGGGAGGTTAACAGGTATAATTACTTGATTACGCGTGGATGTCTTTTTCGGGGGCTGCAGGTGCCCGGCACGCGACTGACAGAAGTCTGTATCGATTTCGCAGATGCTCCTTCTCGCGTGCAAATCGGACAAAAGATGCCTGTTGTAGACCAATCGAGAGGCAAGCTTCCTGCCGCAAGGACTGCACCAATATCCCGACTCGATATCCGTTTGCGCTCCCGGAATCCATTTCCCTCGCGTGTGTCCCGGGGGTGGTGGTTGTCCGATGTTGCTCTTAGCTACGTACTCTTCGATCTTCTGGAAAAGATTTAATAATAATACACGTTGATTTCGATCGTTATCAATCGGTCCTATAACCGCGACGAGGAAAGTCAATGTATGATTGCAAAGTACCTGCGAGCTCTCGGAAGGTCGCCATTTTCCACCGGTGTAAGTCGGCGGTGGATGTTCCGAATGGTGTTCCTCATCCGGCTCTACATCGTCGTCCTGAAGTTGAGACATATTTTGGGGTAGATCTTCCAATCCGGGTTTCCATTTGCCGCCGGTATGACCGCGCGGTGGACGTTCACGATCCTCCCCGTCCTCGGACTCCGAATAAGAGTCCTCCTCCCCCAAATCTTCCTCCAATATATCGTCCTCCGAGTCCTCGTCCTGCTGATACTCGAACTCGTACCTAGGCAGGTCTTTGTTCTCGTTGTTGGCCACCAACTCGGCCAATATCGTATCCTCTAGCCACGTCTGATGAACTTGTTCGATCCTCTGTGTCTCCTCCTGTCTCTTTCTGTCCGTCTGCTTGGACTCGTGAGACGTCATCAGACTCTCCAAAGAGTTTTCCGGCTCGTGTTTCGCCGGGAACGCGCCGCTCTCGATGCTTGTAGCGACGTGGTGGCTCATCGATTGGTTTAATTTGTTCCGACTGCCCGTTATCGTAGGCTTGCCGCTGGACGCGGATGAAACGATCTCGGGAAAACCAACGAGGGAAGGAATGCAGAGATGCTCGGTCGGGTCTTCGAGTTCCGTGACACCGGGCAGCATACTGTGAAGCTTCTCTTTCGCCGCTGTTTCTTCTGCGTCCGTCTGCATCTTTTGGCTTTTTTTCCTTTTGTCATCTTTCTTCAGTTTCCTGCTGTCCTCCAGCAAAGCGGACGCTCTTCGGGAATCGGGCTTCGTGCTGCTTCGCAATTCCAGCGAGCTGAAGAACGCGTCCGCGTTCAGTATTTCGGGATAGGAAACGGTGGTCGGTGTCGTCGGTGACACGCGAACGGCTTCGTTCTTGTCGTCCGGCGGACGACACCCGGACTGACGGTGTCGCACGTAGCTTTCGAGACCGTGCACCGTCAGGTGACATTTTATACAGAAATGAGTGTCGTCGTCGTCCTCGTAACTTTCCATGGATCAGTCCCAGTGGTCGCTTGACCGATCTGGAAAGAATACACGCGTGTATTACGTAGGCGCATCATCGCCTTGGTTCCGCGTTAATCCGTTCGCCGGGCAGAGCACCGACGAACGAAGAAACGTGAATGTCGAGAGGGGAATGCGCGCTGTCGACGCGTTTCGCCTAGAAACTTGCTTGCCCGGGACGAAGCATTCGCGAAGAAACTTTCCGAAAAAGTTATAGGAACGGCGGGAAGTTAAGGAATGCGTGAGATCGATCGATCGATCGGTGATGGTGTACGATCGACGACGATCCGGTCAGTCTATGAATCGCGCGTTCAGCCCAAAGGGTAGTGCACCGCGTTAGCGAACCGCACCGGGCAAATTGAAGGTCCGATATTCGCGGAACAGAAGGGAAACAAGTTGACGCTTCGTACGAACTAGGGGTAGGAAGATCGGTCGATGCCGCTTGGCCGTTATTCGGACGACGACACTTCGCCTCCCAGTCCTGGCCGACCCTCCGCCGCCCTCCACCATCCTCCGCTGCCCTCCGCCGTCCACCCCCCGAACTCCACCGTCCTCACCCATCCACCAGCCCCCGTCCAACTCTCCCTCCCGCCCTCCCCAGCCCGTAACCCACCACCCCTGCTTACTTCCAACCATCTACCTCCACCCTCCCCCCACACGCTATCGCCCTCCCGCCCGGACACCCTCCGCTACCTCCACCCCCGGCCTTGTTGCGCCCTTTCCGTTTCCCCTTTCCGAAGTCTGCGAACCGGCAGCGACCTCGTGGCTCCGTCTCCCTATACCCTCTCTCGTTCTCTCTATCTCTTTCTCTTTCTCGTCCCTAGCGCGTCTCCGTTTCCATGTCCCTCTAGCCCCTCTCTTGTCTCCCTCTCGTCTTATTAAACGAAGAAAACTACCAAATGAGATTTCCATCCAGGTCGAAACACGCTCCTCGCAACCCGATCGCTTAACGCGCGAATCTAGGCGGATCGTTTACTTTTGACGTGACTCGAAAATTCCATTCGCAACAAGATACCGAAACTCCCTAATTATCGGGGAAAGCTAAATCCGCGTGACGAAATACCGTTCCACGGCATTCTATCGACACGGTAAGTATCATGTATCTTGTTCGACTTTTTTCAGAAAAATAATCAAGTACCTTTCTGGTTCCTTAGGTGAGGGTTTGCGCGAGCATCATCGAATATCGACACGTCACGAGATCGTAGTGTTTGTTGTTCGCGATGAACAAACGAACAAACAGGGATTGGGGATCGGAACAAATGCGAGGCAATTAAGCGTGAAACAGTCGTACCAAGTTAAATATTGACAAAGTAGGGGTACGAGGTGCGATAGCGCTATGGATTATTGTATCGTCTTGTAGGACACGCGTACAGTGACGCAGACAATGGTAGGAACGATCGTCCAACCAGAAGAACGGGGACTAAATCGTGTGGACGGATCCGTCGAGATTTACGAGCGTTTGTCGGAAAAACAAGAAAGCCCGTTAATTGGCCAGCGGTCGTGGACAGAATCGAGACGTCGATACGTCAATATAATATCCAACTGTGACGCATCGCGCGGAGACTTTCAGCTAACCGATGGTCGCGTTAACGTTGATCGACGATCACCGATGACTAATCCCTTATTATTTTTCCTGCCATGAAAAAAGGCAAGAGTACACCTGCTACCAAGGAAACATTGCTTCTGCTTTCACATATACACATTCTCACCATGTTTCTCTTTCTCTTTTGGATTCTCGATAACAAAGAATATCCGGATATCGAGCTAAGGGATGCGAGGTCACTTTGCGATCTGATCGCGGTTACGAGAAGGCAGGAGAGCCGTTGAAGGAAGAGGAGGGATAGACGGATACTTGTTGAACGCACGAACTAGACGAATTCCCTCTGTTCCGATGCCACGCGAGGCTAAACTAACGCGAGAGGGAGAGAGAGAGAGAGAGAGCGCGCACGCTGGAACGGAGAACAAATCGTATCGTGTCAAAACGATTTTCAGCCTGTTCTCGTATCGAAGAAGAAAGGCGACAAATGAAATCGATCCAACGTTTTTACATTTACGCAATTCGATCGATTCGTCGTAATAATATTATACGAACACTCGTCTCGGCATGCGCATCGACGATCCTGGATCACGGAACGGGATGCGAAACATTCCCATCCTCGGCAGCCCCGATCGGTGTCGCTAATCCGATCGGAATGGTCGAGGGTTTCGCGTCCCCTTCGTTCCTCCATATCAACCGCAATTAACGATAATCAGCGCTCTGACCCTCGCGTACGAATTCACCCGATAGACTGTCCTTGATGCTTCGCGCTCCTGACAAAATAGACGCACGAAAAACAGACCAGTCCTCCTTTTAAAACTGACGATTATCGAGCAATCGGTTCGCAATTATTGCTGTTCGTCTTAAATTTAAGATTGCTGACAGTAAGGAGCGAGATTACCGTGGATCAAAGAATCAATTCTTTAGAGATTCATCAAAGACAATTGGATGATCTCGATAGGACAGCATTGACTCGATCCCCGAAGACCTTCTTGGCCTGTTTCTCGTCTTTCCGATCCTGTGTCACCGAGAACGTTCGTGGGTTGACTCGTCTGAAATCGGAGAATCCTCGAAAAATTGATTTCTTTCTGATCTTGTTTGTCGTCGTGAAATATCACGCAACATTGTGCGTCACACGTCATAATTTCGAACGATGCTCGTTCGCGAAATAATCGATGACGTTTGGTTCGCGAACGTCAAGCTTTTGGCGAAGAATCCGAAAACCGTAGGAAACCGAGGTAGCCACGGTCGAGCGTCCGAGATAGGTAGCGTGCGAAGAGGTGGAGGTTGGTCTAGAAGGGAGATGGACCGGAGGTAGACGCAGGGGATGCAAGGTCCGGGGAATATTGAGCCGCTCCGTTAATGTTTATAACGACGTTAGACGTTGGTGTCCCCGGTAGCGCCCGTGTGTATGTAGGTGTATAGGTGCTACGGGATAGCTAGGTGGCTTCGCCTACCCTCTAGCATAGCCTCTGCTTCCTCCCTTCTCACCCTTTACATCCGCGTCTCTCATTCCCCCTTATTATCCCTCGCGTTCGGCCTCTCGGTTCGTCCTTTCGTATCTACTCCTTCTCCTTCTCTCTTTCTCCGGCGTCCGTGTGTGCAAGCCCTCGCTCCTTCTTCGTCTGTCCCCGTTGTTCCCGTGTCTCGTCGTTCTCTTTCCCAACGGTGGCATACAACGGTAGTAGTAACAACGGTAGCAGCCGAGGTAGAAGCAGCGGCAGAGGTAGCGGCAGAGGTAGAGGCAGAGAGGCAGAAGCAACGGCAGGACAGGAACTGACATAAGCGCACGAGTGTGTATGTAGAGCACGTACTCGGGGGCTCTCCAGTTCGACGGAGTAGGTGGAGGCGGGTGGTTGGGTGGTCGTGGAGACCTCTCGGTCGAGAGTATGGGTTGTGGGTGGTGAACGGGTGGATATAGCGCGGAGGGTGAGTATGTCGGTGGGTCGAGGAAGAGGAGAAGGGGGGAGGGCTGCATCCTAGCAATGGGACGAGGGAGCCTCTGTCTAATCGATGCCGCGGCGGTGCGCGCTCGCCCCGCTGGCTATTACGCACCTTAATGTCCTTTTCCCTCGCCTCCTCCCCGCGCCAACCACCCCCGTCTCTTCCTCCTCTTCCACCTTCGACGCCGGTATCCCCTCGACTGCTTCGCTGCCTCGCCACTTTCCTCGTCTCGCTCGTCTTTCTTCCGTTTCTGCTTCTCTTTCTTTCCACGACCCTCCACGCTCTCCTTCCTCTTTCCTTTCCGCCACCACCTCCACCTCCTCCTCCACCCCCCCCCCCCCCAAGCCTCGTTCGCTCGAACACCGAGAGGCGGCCATGACACGTGTCAATCTACCGCAGACGCCCGATCGATACCGACGGACCTCGGCTTCTCTCTGCGCTCCTCCACCTCTTTCTTCGCCCTATCGTCGACAACCACCCCCATCCTCGTCCACCTAACCACCCCATACCACACCACCCACCCGCTCCTCCTCCCCTTGCGACCCCTTACGACCGCGCTCCGTGCTCCCTATACTCCGAACCTTCTCTTCTACGAATGCTGCCATGCCGCTGCTATACGCATCGACGCCAACCCTCGACCCGTGTCGGGGCCTGCCATGCTGCTCTCATCGAGAGTATCGCCTCTGTTCTCGCGACAAACGAGATTCCGTTTTCTAGCCACTGCCCGCCAATTGCAATCCCGCCGCTTGCCCGCTTGCCGCTCGCTCTGGCATCCGTGCTTTTCCTCCACACTCCTCCAGTCCAACTATCTAGTCCGTCAAAGTCGACCACCACCGGCGCTCGCCTCTCTACCGTGTGCAAAACTTTTTCCAACTCGGACCACCATCCTCCGTCACGGTTCGAACGAAACTTGGATGTTCTATATGTACCTACGTTGCCGGACGATCGTATCGAGACGTGTTCTCCAAACCATCCCTGATCATTCTGCCGCACGACATCATCTTACGATAAAAATGTTTATCGAACTACAAGAACGAATGTGCCGAATACCCACATCCGAGTCCATTTCTGTACCACTTGTATACTACTCGATCACATCAATAACATACGCCGTATAAGCGAATTGGTATAATGTAATTATTGTAATTTGTCGATCGAATAGAAACAATCCAATCGTGTCGAATCTAACAGAAGCGTAAGGTTCACGTGTAAGTATCGTCGAGGATTTTTCGAACGTTTCCGATACAAGATTATTCACGAATCGAACGAAAAACATTTCGTTACGTTAGAAAAACACCAGGGTTTATCGTGGTCGTAAAGTTTCAACGGGCGCGAAAATATGCGAGCACTACGAGGAAAGAACGTTAAAGTACGATCGTGTGCTTTTCGTACCGCGCCCCGCTCCTCTGGACGTTGATGTTTTAGACCGCAGATACCGGACTGATGTATCCTTCGCTTGAAATAATGCATCGAAGACCATCGTGAATCGGTGGACTTTGACCGGTATGAAAGAAAGCAGATTCGACAGCTAGCGATACA